ATACTTGGCCAATGCTTCACAAAGCATCCTATTAAATCTTTCAACCAATCCATTTGTTTGTGGATGATATGCCAATGACAATTTATGTTTTATTCCTATCACTCTGCATAATTCACCCAACATCTGGTTAACAAAATGTGTTCCCTGGCCTGTCAACAATATTTTAGGACAACCATGACAACTTATAAAATCTTCATAAAAGAATTGCACCACCAAAGCAGCTTTTGCATCAGAAATTGCCCTTGCTTCTGGCTGCTTAGTCAAATACTCAGTTGCCACAACCATATACACAGTGAGTCTTGATTTAACGGATATTTTTTTCCAGAAAATTTATCTGTTAAATTGAGAGATCCACTAAATCAAAACTTATGATCAAATCATGTTATACAAATTCAATGTGTACAAAAAAAAATTTTTTTATTTAAAATAAATTTGTATATACATAAAAAACAAAATAATAATAATAATATCATCATCAACTCATAAATTCATCAATGCAACATTGTTTGCTTCTTGGGTGCTTCTATGAGAAATTTTCTCTTTTTAACTTCAATATATTTTTAATTATTTGAGGATCAACTTCTAAATATTTTTGTTACATTTTCAACCATTTATAGCTTCTGTATTTGTTACTTATCTTATCAACAATTACTATGTTAACTTATAAAAATATAACAATAAAAATAACAATAATAAAATATGAATAATAATAAGAAATCATCATCATCTGCTGGTACTGCTAATGAAAGGCAGTAGTGACAACAACATCATCATAATCAATATCTACCCTCCATAATCACCTTCACAGACATTATTAATAATATTAAAAATATTAAAAATAATAATAATAATAATAATAGTAATATTTTCAACATTTAAAGAAAAAGAAACTAGAAAGAAATATGTGAAACCATTTAAAAAGGGCAGTATATATTTGACAACCACCAGATTATCAAAATATAATAATCTCATGGGAAATAGGCACTTATGATGCATGTTATATTTAAAAAATTTTATCAAAGTTCATGCACAGCTTTTGATATCACAAGCTGAATAAAAGATTAAAAAAGAAACAGCCATTGAAATGTCCTATCAAAAGCATTGCTACATTTAAAAAGACAAAAATGGATTAGTAGTGGCCATAACAATAACAGCAACAACTTATCATCATCATTTAAACCAGTAGCAAAATCATCAACAACATCTGAATCAACAGAAACAGTAATTACCATAACAGAAAAATCTATATGAATATTTAATTAGTTGGACATTTGATATAATATTTAATTGAAATTTCTAAATTTAAAGCTTCCAAATAAATTATGTTGATGTTTTTTTTAAAAAAATTATTTTCTTGCAATTTAGTAAACTGAGATTTCTTTAAAAATAATAATTAATATTATTAATTATTATATATTTATATTTGAATAAATTATAAAAATCATAATTTTTGTTTTTTAACTCACTTCAATGATTACTATCTTTGTCATTATTATTATCATGTTTATTATTATTGTTGTTATTATCATGATGATTGTGTTGAATACGATTTGCAAGTGTTTCATAACCAAGATAAATTATAAAAGCTCCAATGCCCCAAGATAGACCTGGCCAAGAAAGTTTTACATTGTTACGAAATCCAAATTGATTACGCCAGGCTTCTCTTCGAGCCCAAGGATCAAAGTATTTCGGAGTAGTCATTTTTTTTATGCAAATACTAAATTGATGTAACACGATTTGATTAAAAAATCGCTTGTGTTGCCTTTGAAATTAGATACTGTATAATTTGATCAACATTTTGACCATATAATCATTTTTTATACAAGTCAAATTTTAACAAGTTAATTAATTTACTCTCCGTTTCAATACTTCGATTAATAATTAATTATTTATTTATTATAAAAATAATTAATGTTTATATCACCAAAAGATACCAGGACTGGGAATAGTAATAGTACTTTAAAATCCGGATTTTCCTTTAAAAAATTTTAATTTCTGGAAAAAAAAAGTTGCTGGATATTTTAAAGAAATTTTATTACAGATAAAGCTCCGAATCAGCCGAGCCAAGAAACAATAAGCTTGAGCTTGACGTCACATAAAATTTTTTTAAGTAACGAATGATTAATTCTAATACTTTTTATTTTATTTATGCACATTACCTAAAGAACAATTTAAATGCCTATTTTCTCGAACTTAGCTTGAACTTGAAATTCAGGTTTTAACTCGAGTCTGCCCAACTCTGAGAATAAAACAAATGATTCAAATGATTCAAATGACGAATAAAACAAATGATACAAATGATTCGAATGATTCAAATAAACAAATAAAACGGATAAAACCAATGATTCAAATGATTCAAATAAACGAATAAAACGGATAAAACTAATGATTCGAATGATTCGAATAACGAATAAAACAAATGATTCAAATGATTCGAATAACAAATAAAATGAATGGTCTGGAAAATTTTTAGCATTAGGAGAAATTTCCTTTTTTTCAGATTTTATTTCCAGCCCTGATGCGGGGTATGATTAATGATTTGAAAAAAAAATCATGCAATGTCCCATACATGATTCAATTCAAAAAAAAAATTGGCTTCATTTTGTTAAACCGGGTAGAGTTGATAATTCTAATTCATTTTGTAATTAAGGCTCCGAACGAATCGATTCGACTCGACTCGAATCACTCTAAATTCGATTCGTGACTCGATTCAAACCGGATTTCAATGCCATATTAAATACAGTGAATATCGATGTAGTGTACCTCAATTTAATGGATACTATTGATTGAAGTTTAATAATAATAATAATAATAATAATAATAATAATAATAATAATAATTTCTTCTCAATATAACGGATAGACGGGACACATAAAAAAAATTTTATGTTTTTATATGTATATGTGAAACAAAAATTTTAAAAATCCGTTATGATAAGAATTTAATTCATATGCGCCGATTTGTTTGAACCCCAAAATCCAGTACAGTATGATCATAACGTTATGAATACTTTATACTAGCAAAAACCCATTGGTT